CCCTAACCCTAACCCTAACCCTAACCCTAACCCTAACCCTAACCCTAACCCTAACCCTAACCGAAGTAATAGAGAAGATAGAAGAGGTAAGAAGATTATTGCAGAGAGAAAAAGAAAAGTAAGAACAGAGGTGTAAAACCCGCGCTAACGCGACTAACAGAGAGTAGAACCTGCGCTAATTTTAAATTGCAATAGAATTCTAGGCAGTCGCTTAGAGGTAGGCACAGAAATGTACTTTGAATAGATCTATAATTCTAACTTTCGCGAAGTTCTTCTCTACAAACACTGTATCTATCTACAGCGAAATCCTCTCGATATCGTTCTTCGCAGCATGGCTCGTAGCCACGTACGGCAACTGCTCCTGCAGCGCCTTGAAGTTCTTCTCGGCCTCCCAATTCCAGATGCTGTCCGACGCGAAGAGCAAATCGATCTCCTCGAGCGTGCGCTGGTTCGTCTCGGGGTACAGCGCCCAAACCATAGGAATGGTGATGGCGTTGCATGCGGCGAAGATGTAGAGCGTCTTCTCGCCGAGGGATTCGAACATGATAGGGCACAAAAGTGTGAGCCAGCCGTTGCCGATAGACCAGCCAACGACGCCCCAGGCATTGCCCTTTGCGCGCACTTCGAGGGGGAAGATCTCAGCGGGGTAGAGCCACGGGACTGTGAGCCATGTCGCGCCGAAGATGGCCGTGAAGATGAAGACCATGGACACCGCTGCGTTGCCGTATGAAGACGCCGCGCTCGTGTCGCCGCGCTTTGTCGCTTCTTGTCCAAGGTACGAGAATCCTCCGGCGAGGGCCATTGCGATCCCTTGTCCTGCCGAGCCCCAGTAGCAAGTCCAGCGGCGGCCGATGCGGTCGAGTGTGAAGACGCAGATAAGTGTCGCAAACATGTAGAAGATGTTGTTGAGACCTGAGATCCATTGTCGCTTTGCCGGACTCATGCCCGCAATCCCGAAGATGGTGGGCGCGTAGATTGTGACACCAGCGATACCAACCTACGTGTTCAAGTTAGCGATGTCGATATGCATAACATGCGTCCGAACGTACCCATTCCTGCATGATCTGCAACCAAATCACGAGCTGGACGCGGCGGCCAGTGTGCAGCTTGCCAGACCCGATACCGAACAACATGCGGAAGTAGTCTTGCTTGCGGAAGTTGGACCGCTCCAGCTCGCAAGAGGCGACAATCTCCTGAAACTCGACTTCCGCTCTCTCCTTGTCCTCTCCGGTGTCCCCTCGAAGTCGAGCCAGAACGTAGCGTCCCTCTGCCTCGCGACCCACCTTCACGAGCCAACGCGGGGATTCCGGGAAGAACATGACGGCGGCCATGAGGATCATGAGCATGGGAATCTGGAATGCGATGGGGAAGCGCCAGATGAAGGACGAAGTGCCGTCTCCGTAGAAGGAGCATGCGTACTCAAGCCAGTATGCGATGACGACACCGAGGATGTTGAGGGTAAACTCAATCGCGATAAACTGTCCGCGCGAGGTGTGCTCCGCAGTCTCCGTGGCCCAGACAGGGATGATCGAGTTGAGGATACCGGTACCCCAGCCATTGACGAGACGTGCGCAGATCATCCATTCGTGGTTCATGGCCGAGCATTGTAAGCAGGCACCAACAGTTGCGACAGCTGCTCCGACAAAGATTGTCTTGATGCGCCCGTAGCGATCACCGATTGAGCCACCGACCAAGCATCCCACCAGTGTACCGAGGTAGTATACCGACACGATGCCGCCTTGAAGCAAAGTATCGTCCACGACTGGACCGCCATCTGCGCCTTTGTGTCCGAAGCCCATCAGGGTGTAGTAGTCGTATGCGGTGTTGACACCTCCCATCATTCCCTGATCGTAACCGAAGAACAGGATCGATAAGCCGGCGATGCAATTGATCCTGGTGGGAGAAGTTAGCGATGGTTCAATTGTACTAGAAGGAGATGCATACGCGATGAGCAATGCGCGCTTCTCATATCGATGAACGACATTCCACTTGGAGATCTGGTCCATGGTGGGCAACGGCTTCGCAACGTCAGACCCTTGATTGGATGTAGTATCGCAAACGTGTGCGATTCGATGCTTGGCTGAGCGGGAAACCTTGTCGCGAAGTTTGAAGCCCGTAGGCGGATCGGGCGTACTTATAGCATGATGCTGTGAGCATGGACGGGTTACATCGTGACTTTCGCGCATGGTCGTCCAACCCTGCGGAGGCCGTTGATTCCCATGGGGCCCCAATTGTCGGCCCCTCTTTTCATGGTTGGGACGCGGAAGCCTCTCCAGTTGCGACCATGGATGTGTGGATCGTAAGCTCTCGATAACTTGTTAGTCGCGGCCAAGTCGCGCGACAGTGGTCCGAATGCTTCGCGCATTACTAGAGGCGGTAAGCCGTCCTGGCACAGACGCCGGTGCACTTGCCTGAAGCTTGCCGGCACCAAGCCTAGCGCCCAGACGGCTACCACTCTCAAAAGCCTTGAGAAGCCTTTGATGCCAGTCTTGCGAAGGCTTTGCGTGCAATCAATGAAAGCGATGCCCGTCAAATTGTAGCGATTGAATGCGGCCATGGGACGCAGCGAATTGGTTGTGATATTCGGCATCGTGGGTGGTGACGTAGCATGAGTCAAGGTTTTCTGGGGAAGGACCTAACTTGACTTGGGCATGCACGATGCATCGGCCTGAACCCCGACCCGCTTCAATTGCCGACGGTTGAATGCACGGTAATGCAAGGCTGTCCGATGACGATGAGCAACATTTTCGTGAGAGCAGTCGGCGTTTCTCGAGATCGGGCGCTTCAGTTTCCCAGTTTGACGATCGCAGTGTGCGACAGCGGTCACTTCCCGTGTAGAGACGCGGGCGAAGACGGAGGGTGTGGTGTGAAGCTTGACTGATGAGCGTCGATGGTCCATAGGCGGCACCGGACCCGATGCCTGGCTTACCAAGTTCACGTTCAACAGAGGGACGCGGACTCTGCGACGCTCACCACTGATACACGTCAAGGAGTATGGAGTGCGCGATGGAGGGAATACTCGCTGGCGACAGCAGCTCATATCATGAGAATGGGGGACAGGTGGATCGGAGGATGGTGTCGCTTCGGACTGTTATGGCGGGCTCTGGGCCGTACTGTTGCTCGCTTACTGAAAATTACTCTCTCATCACATGAGCATAGGTGTCTCGTGGATATAAAGCGGAACAGGGTACTTTCAAGCCGCCGCGCCTCCGCTATGTTGTTTCTCACAATACCGCTTCAGATCGTCGCACCAGAGGGCGACCTTGCCCTTCAACGTGTCCTCCATCATCAGCTTGACAACCCTTGACAGCATGCCAGTCATGATCTCCCACGACCTGACCTCGCATTCGTTTTCTCCAGTGACAATGACCTCGTGGAAGCGCTCCAGCTTGGGCGCAAAGCCGTACATGCCGCCGTTGCCCGTCCAACTCACCCTATATACCTTGCTAAGATCGGCCGTAAACGAGGGGTCTTCGAGGAGGTCGGGTGTGAGGTAGGATGTCGGCGCAGAGGGCGTGCTGATGTCGACGACCTTCAGCTGCGTCTTTGTGATGTCGTTCGGCTTGTCCGCGTTCATGATGACATGGAACTCCATGGAGCAGCCGATGCTCATACGCTCTTGACTAGTCGAATCGAGATCGTTCCCGGGCGACTGGATCTCCGCGACGGGTACCCACGTGTTCCATGCTTCGTAGTCTTTGGCGCGGAGAAGGGTATCGAATACGAGCGACGCCGGCGCGTGCACTGCCGTCGAGTAGGCGATGGTGAGGATGGCGTCCTTTCGCGGGACGATCTTGGTGGTGAGCCCGTTCGCGGGCGGCCAGGCTGCAGTTTCAGACATGGCGTAGTGAGTCGTGTATGTGTATGCGCATCGTGATGGAACGAGGTGCAGATAGTGTTTGCTTATGCTGACGACTGCGCCGCGTTGGCTTATCGAAGGACGCGCCTTATCGATAGGCTAGCCCCAGGGGTGAACGCCGAGGCCTTCTCCCTCGCGTCCTTCAATCGTACACAGTACACATCGCAACGTCTCATAATGTGGCAACCTTTCGACAACATTTCCGAAGAGTTAATTGACACGATCGCCAGCTTCTGTTGCCGATACACACTAGCAAACTTATGCCGCGTGTCAAAGCAACTCAACCGCATCGCTACTCCTCATCTTTACGCAAATGTCACGCTCTACTCAGACATAGGTGGCGAGGGTGATCTGAGACATCTCCTTCCACTTGCGTATCGGTTCTTCGCGTCTCCGGCTCTAGCGGCTCTTGTGAAGTCTTTCGCGCTTCCCGAAGGTTGGGCAGGTTACAACAAAGCAGAACGGCTCGACGGCTTTGACGTGAAGCCATGGCCCAATCTTGGAACATCAGAAACAGATAACCTATTGAGGCGTATATGTCACGAATACGTACAAGATGATGAAGGGACTGAAAGGCTGTTCAAGAAGATGTATGGAGCTGAGGCCGACATCGTAATTACACTGCTTGTCGCGAATCTTCCAAACGTCCAGAGATTGGACTTGAACTTTGAGGGGTGTCGTAATCATGACTTCTTTTGCGGGATGCTCAGAGGGTCCGCTGGGCGGCTCCAGGTTATGGAGGCGGCGTCACTTGGGCCGCCAGGTCACACTTGGTCCCCAACCGCCCCATTGACAAAACCTATGAATGTGCTGATCACGGCCTCTTATAAGGGGGAAAGAAGACATCTGGAGTCATTCTTTCACCTCCCTTGTCTTCGCTCTTTGTACGCGTTCAAATTTGGGGATGCTGAATACTTGTCGATGCCGGAGTATCCCATCGCCAAGTTGAGACCACGCTCTTGTGGCGTGCAATACATTGAACTCCGAGGCTCCACGCTCGGCGAGAATACCTTGCAGTACCTGGTGAAAGCGACCATACCGGAGAAGCTCAAGACTTTTCTGTACGAGATGGCCGACCTTTCGATTGGACATCCTTCCGATCTGATGCGTTGCCTGGAAGATCATCAAGATCATCTAGAGACCTTGGCACTGAACTACGAGGAAATTGATGGCGAGACAGTGCTTGAAAGAGCAGGGCGGTTTACAGATGATGAGATGCCGGCCGCTGTTTCTTTTACTCCATTCAGGTCTCTTCGCCGCCTTAGAGTAGCCCCCGAAAGGATCCTGGGATATGTCCATCGCGGACACGACATTCGAGGCGAGACGGAGGCGTTGAAAACTTGGAATATGATTTGGAAGGCTCTTCCAGAATCTTTAGAGGAGTTCTGGCTCACACGATCGAAACACAAGGGGGTAACCGGCCTTCCAGACGATGGTTCCGACTTCGTCCCTCACATCTTAATACCTGCACTCCACCGTCTTGTGGAGAGAAGTAGCGAGCAATGTCCTCATCTCCGGTCCATCCGCATCGAACTGTTGCCTTATGATTGGGAAGCCGAGTGGTTGGATCTACTGGCTGAGTTTTGCCAAGCTGCCGACGCGCGAGGAATCCACTGCACAATTCTCTTCCTTCACAAGTACCATAAGCTTGGACCTTACTACAAATTCACGCAGACCTATCAAGGCGAGCGCGCATGGGGCTGGAACGAGGACGTCGAGTGGAGTGAAATTCCTTGTAACGCCAACAAAATCTGGCGGAAACATGTCATTTGTACAGCGAACGAGCACGACCTCAAGGGCAAGATTCGGGCGCTTAAAGCAGATGTGTTCACATACACAGACCCAATTCGTCGTCATCTCGCTAAGTCGACCCAAACACCCAGAGTTTAAAAAGTTCACGGGAGGAACAAGGCAGTCCAGACGCATCAACGCAATCCAACCGGATCTAGGAACCGGTTCATTGTGATGATACTCGAGCCATGCGAAGCAGACAGTCTATGTCAACGGCGGGTTCGTGGTAGACTTTTCAATTAGGGAAGGAACATATGTACAAGCCCACGGCACCAAATATAAACAAGAAGAGAAAACATCGCAACAAGCATGACTTCTAATGCGCAAGCGAGCCTCAAACATCAGACTGTGTGGTCGCGCCAATGGCAGCACCGCTCTTCGGCACCAGAAAGTTGCTCGTAGGAACCCTCCCATCAGCACCACGCGCTTTCTTCAACGTAGCGGGATCAACGCTCGCGAAGCTCGCATCTGACCAGCTGCCCGACTGCCAAGAATTACCCGTAGCCTTGATACCCGACGCGGTGAGGCTAACCTGCGAGCTACCCACATTCGAAACAGCAATATTGTTCTTCATATTCGAGCTGGAGCTGCGGAAGTTGAAGCCCACATCACCATTCTTCCACGCGGTATTGCGCTCAACCGTCAAGCTACCAGGGTTCCCGTTATCAATAAACCCCTTCTTCGCGTTGGAGAACGCCATGCAGTTCCGCACAATGTGGTTGGCAGGCGGGTTATCCGTGATACCGAGCTTGAAGCCATTGCCGTCTCCCTCGAAAGAGCTGAAGCCCCACCGGTTGAACCCGTTGCCCCACGCATATACCTCTTCCAGTGTGACGGACGAGCCGAACATGAAGAGGTCGAGGCCGTCGTCAACGTTCTCCCATAAGCGCGCGTTGCGCAGGACGTTGCCCTCGCCCGACCCTTCTTTGCAAGCGAAGCCGTCGGCGGACTCGCCGTTCTTGCGCGGGTCGCGGTTGCGGTAGGAGTCGAGGTATACAACGGTGTTGTTGGAGGAGGCGCCCTGGAGTTGGAAACCGGTTTCGTAGTTGTCGTGGGTGGTGAGGAGTTCGTAGTGGTTGTGTGACGCGTCGCGGGCGTATACACCGTATGGACCGTTGATAATTCTGGGCGATGTGTTAGTATGTAAGACGATTGGGGTGCGTAGGTAGATAGGTGTACCTACTCCAAATTGTAGAACTTCCAGTAGTTCGCTTTTTCGATGTGAAGAGCACCGCGCTCCTTGTTCGGTAGGGACTCGTCTAGGGCGTACGGCGTTCCGGGCATGCCTTCGCCGTCGATGATGACCTTCTCCTTCTCGAAGGAACGGAGTGTGATGGGCTGGATCCTGGTGCCGCTCTTGGTGATTTGGATATTTGTCGTGGGCTTGTATGTACCAGCGCGTAGAAGGATCACATCGCCAGGCGCAGCAGCGTTGACGGCTGATTGGATTGAGCCAAAGGGTGCGGCAGAGGTACCCGTTCCTTGACCTGTTGGCGAGACATAGATGTCTTTGGCGTTTGCAGAAGCAGATAGCGCAGCGATAGCAGCCGCGAAACCAAGCGAACGCATGTCGAAAAGTAGTATGATGAATAAGATGGGTATTGAGAGGTACTGGTAGGCCAGGGTTGTTCTGTATTCCTACAATGAACAGTCTATGGACTCTATATACTCCTAAATCAATCTCCGTGGCATATCGCGACCCCATGAGTTTGTCGCATGTCATGAGTCCGTACCTCTGTACCTCTCGTGTCAGTCGCCAAGATGTAATAGATGAGCATGCGCCGTCGTCGAAGCTCCACCAATGCCTTAAATTTCCGACTCCTCGCTTCGTGCAACCCTCGACGCGGTGACACAGACGCCCGAATGAGCAAGCTTTGCTGTACCCCACAACTCGCTTGCGGTAATTATTCATGTCGCACGTGGTGGCGCATGCGAGTGGGTATGTGATTGATGGATCGCACAGACGGAGTTTCAAAACATCGCCAAGTGAGAGGAGGTTTTGCGCTATGCAGACATTGGTGCAGGCGACGCTTTATTGCGACCAGGTAGTACCGGGATAACTTCGACCGAGGGACTATACATCCGATTCATGGATTTGTATACGCGCTGTTGCGAGTCGTGCGCAGGTGATGGTGTGGTGGTGAAGTGGTGTTGAAGGATAGTGTTCAGTAATCGAGATGGCCGACCAGCGGCAATGGCGGCCGCCGAATACGCCAAGCTAGTCCAGATCTTGTGCTGCCCCCAACGCCTGTGTTAATGCCTGTTGAACAGCTCGATATTGAGAAAGGACGGCCTCATGTACCTTGTGCTGGCAGGGGAAATGCTCAAGTACCGTCGTATTCCACGCATCCAAGTCCGCAATCTTGATCTCGTTGTCGCGTTACCTTCCACGCATCGACATCTTCCGGAGAAATCCTACTGACACTTTTCCACCATCCATCTTGGGTGAAGTTGAAAGGCCAGAAGTCGAAAGCCATACGTCCTATGTTTGTCTTCTCCTCTTCCGTTTCCATCTCTTCCTTCGCTTTGTACAACAAGTCGTGCAGCAATGTCGCCCCGAGGCCCTTGAAGTGTACTTGAACAAGCATCTCATCGATGTGCGACGGTACACTTGCGTTGGGCGTCAGGTGAAATGGTAGATAGACCACCGGCCACGTATAAGGGTCTTGGGAGTCCCATTCTTGAGGATCGTCGACTGGCGATCGCTCATTCTGCTTTGCGCGTGTCTCAAGTGGTGGAAGTAAGTGGTCAATCTCGTCCGTATCTTCGACCACGATCGTTGGAGAGCGACGGCGCAACACCGTAGATGGCGTTATCACAGTCAGTATCGAAGGTCAAGAGCCGCGAGCTGGCCATAGATCCGTCCCGCTCGGCCAGTCTTGGAGCGATTCTGGTACGTCGCGGTAGAATGAGGCATGAGAGGTCACACGCCATGGAACTTCTCCTGTGATAACGAGGTAGGTGTCTCCATCCGGACTGTAATCTGGTGTTGACGGGTCCACTGAGATCGCTCTCGGCGAGAGTCCTTTGTCGTCGCAAGGGATCGATACGACCCGCGCTACACTCCTCTCGCCGCTGGCAGGTGCTTCCTGCTCGTGATCTTCAGCTATGCGTAGTGCTAGGAAGGAGGTGTACGAAGTCGAAATAGCCAGAGGCTGCGTCATAGTCACGAACCTGGTGAGAAGTATCGT